GAATGGAGTTTTACGTCATAAAAGCATTTTTCAAGAGATCTGTAATATACATTGTCTGTCCCAATTAGTATTTGTGTTACACTTTGTCCAACAGTCAATACTATCTAGACAGTTGCTATATTCAATTTCTGAACCCCCAGTTTAGTGAACAAGTGTAGTTGAAGACTAGAGAGAAACAACTTAGTTCAATAATCACCTTATATAAGGAATATAGAGCAGTAATAGCTCACAGGCATTATACAATATTAATCTTTCCACTAGTCTGATAGTTGGTGGTTTTATATAGACTTCAATCGTTTCTTACTATCTATTATTGGTCTATTGAAAAAAACTATACTATTTGTTAATGCTTCATTCTGATATTGTTCTGGTTTACTATACTTGCAGAAGACATTGAGTCAAGTCATTTGTCAGATAAGATTGTTCTATTTCTCTGCTCTTTTCGTAAAATTGAAACTAATTGCACAATGGGCATAAGATTAACTCAAAGGGATGTTTAATTATTGCTTTAGAAGCTGATTTCCTCAAATATATTTACCCATAACACATCTTAGAATTATGTTGAGTTCTGTTGTGTCTACTATGAAATGATTTCAGAATATCGCTGAATAGTAGACATATAGGAATAAGGGCGTCTGATAATTGGTATTGGTTCTGAACAGTTCTATTGGTATGTAATGTGAATATCTCAAAGAGTTATTCACTTAAATTATACCAAAAAATATGTATAGACCATAAAACCTGCCTTATAGTAAAATTTAGTATTTAACTCAATAGCAAGTAGTCCCGGAGACTTCTATATAGAACATAGCAAATTGTCTGTATAATTTTTATACATCATTTCATTGTGACCAAAAGGATTTTTGCCACTCCAAAGATTGAGGAACTAGAAATATTCACACCTGATTGGCATACATTGGACAATGTATACAAACCATTGTTACAGACCAAAACTCAGACCTGTGTTGTTGTTCCGTTCTGTTAAAATGGGGCTTATAACTCATTCAAATCTTCAATTACGATATTCATTGAATCTTGAATAATAACATTCTAGCCATTGATTTGGAAACAGGCTTAGAAATATGGCACCTTTCATATGTAGCCAGAAATCAAAGTAATTTCAGTATTATAAAACAGTCTTTATCATTGGCTAATCAAATAGGCTTAATCCAATCAGATTAGATGTTAGTGTTAATACTCTGTCAGATTTATATCATTATCATACTGTGTTGATTGGCTAATTAGATTAAGAAGGGATCTGTGTCTTGTCTGTATGATCTGATTAGATTATTGGAAGCCATATTGAAAAGTGATTGTGAGGTTTCTGTAGAAGTTGTCAGTCTGTGATTGGCTGATTCAGTAAAAGGTTAGACATCAGGCGTAGACCGACTCGCCACTCTTCAATCAAGTCAGAATCACAGAATAGATCAAAATGAATAAAATCTCTTTTACAAAGATGACGTAACATTTTAGGAAAATCGTAGAAGCAATCTGAACAACTATGACAACTAAACAGCTTTTGTAGATTTCATCATGTTTTTCTTGCAATTTGAAAGCAAGTTTATTTCAAAAAGTATTAGAAGCAATATTGGCTACAAAAAAAGATATAATTAATTAAATAGTGATTAATTATGTATGTTAATTGAAATGATATAGGTTGATTTTGCTCTCTGAACCATTGTACAATGTAAGTAGATTATTTTATGATGGAAATCTGGGTGTATTACCTGAAAACTTTTGCTTCAATATAAGTATTATTTAACACATTCTAAACCAAACGGTCATTTTACATCGTAGCTCGCTGTATTTGACTATTCCAATAAAAGTAATAACATATATCTAGCTGGTAATGGGAATTTTGAAGATCTTGATGCCTTTTCTGTTCTTTTGCTTTTCTGATTCTTTAGCTCTTCACAGGCCCCAGCACATTGTGAATTGAATTTTGTATCAATCCGGGATGCATAGCAATTTTTAGGGATCTATGACCACAAGTTTCCTGAAATTTGACCACTTTTTCACTTTTACTATGAAGGAATAGATTTCACAATCACAAATGATCAATGGTTGAGATATCTTAACATCACGAAGCCTGATTTTCACATTTAATCATATACTATTTATTACACATTTAAATACTTTGATTTCGAAACGCTATTATCAAGTCTGAATCTAAGGCGTTAATGAGCATTAATGAGAAGTTAAGTACGTTGATTAGAGGATAACGCTAAGATGAGCTGATATATCAATATAAGGTGTATTAATTCACTCCAATAACAGATCTTTATCACATGTATTAAAAGCATGACGCCACTTTACTTTCAAAGCATGTATGGATGGCTATGGCTTGTCATATCAAGCTAGCAACCTCAAGCCATTGTAATCTAGAAACCAATAGTTACAGCTGGAGGAATGCTAATAGCACATATAGAACAATGTCATGATATAATATGACAATTCTTCTCTGGCACCACAATTTGGTCATAATATCAGAATAAAACTCTCTGATCTAGTATAATTGTTGAATTTAAAAAGTCACAATTTGATATTGATTGGATGGTTGACTGAAACTGAGTTTGAAAGTTAATCTAAATGGTAATGTACCTTTAACAATGTATCAGAAGATCTGTATTAATGATAAACTACTAATATCATTACTAATACCGATTATAATTGGAATTAGTTCAGCTTCAGAGAAATCCATGCTCTTCTAAATATGTAAATCATTTAATTAGTTCTAGATTCAATTTAAGGTTTCCGTAGACAAATTATAGTGATCTCCGTCATTTAGGTCTTCAAAATGAGATATCTAATACAAAATTACACATCAGTACATTAAGGTTATTCTGAAATTTATCTGCTGAGTGTATTTTTTATTTCATTAGTTCTCTATTCAGTTTGAGGTTTCCCCAAACAAATTATAGTGATCTTGACATTAGAGATCTGTTACAAGATAACATCCACCTATCAAGACCCAAGTTCCAAAACCTTATTGAATTTAATGTGCGCTCTAATTAGTACCTTAGCCAATGTGGCCAAAGATGACACACTGTGTCTGGGTTTGTCAACTCTACATCACTTTTGGAGAGTTCTCATAGCTATAATATTGTTTATGTGGTATAATATTGTTTATGTGGTATAATATTGTTTATGGTATAATATAATATTGTTTATGGTATAATATTGTTTATGTGGTATATTATTGTTTATGTGGTATAATATTGTTTATGTGGTATATTATTGTTTATGTGTTATATTTCTTACCAGTCCAATGATGCCAATGGTTAAACTGTTATAAGAAATGACTAGCATAGACTGAATTTTTCAAATTTAACTTTAGATTTGTCAAGAATTATCTGTCAAGGCTCCAGTTTCTGATATTTTGATTTGAATGAGTTAAATTAAAAGCAGATGACCATCAAATTGCCAAGATTTTAGTTTGAAGCTGAAAAGTATTTCTAGGTCAGATTGTTTGTGTTCTAGTGTAGCCATTCTAATTACAAACTACACAAAGCATTCATTCTCTAATTCTACCCCTTACTTTTATCTTAGATATTTCTTGTTATTTCATTTTATTGGCAATGACCAACTGTGAATATCAAATTGGCAGACTGTCAAAGTAAATTTTTTAAACATCTAATAAAAAATATTTAGGTGCAGATTTGTAATATTTTGGATGCTAGCTGATGACCTCAAACATTTAAAAGGCTTAACCTGAATGGAAGGGTCGTATTCTTTATTTTAAACTAAATGCAGCAGTCAAAAGTCAAATTGTTATTATCCCATTAGAAGAATGAAAAAAATATTGAAAAACCAAGGAAGTTGCTGAAGACTAGAGTAGTAATTTGGAAAAGAAATTTGATTAAACTATGTGATGAGAGAACAGACACATTCCTTGGAAAACAACGTTATTGATAAACATTTAACTCTTCATCATTTCTTGAGTTAACTCTACAAACCGATTCAGTATGGAATACAGATTGTCAGGCTTATTGTGTATCTGATCTGTAGTCTTCAAGCACTGTCTAATTCCAGACTTGATCCTTAAATTTAGCGTTCTTGGAATAATATATAGCTTTCTATTTCGAGACCAATTTATATGAGATTTTCTGTAAATTTCTGAAGAAATCTGCCCTATAAAGGTCTAAATTGGATCTTTATTTTTTGAATTCTTATTGACCTTTTTTCATAACCCCATAATATTAAATCAGAATTGTTCAATCCAAAGCTAAAATGATATAAAATGATCATGAATAATGTAATACCATTTATTTCCCTTCAAACTGCTACCATTCAGTAGCTACTTAACGCAATCCCTTCCTCAGGCTGTGATGATGAGATTGCTTCCTGTTTAGAGTCAATGTAGCATGAGAGATAGAGGTCTAGACCTGTGGGATAGCATTTGAAATTGAAATGATTATTGTATAATATTATATTAATGTCTGTGTGATTCCTTGTCTTCCTCCTAGTATAAACTTATTAACTGTGTTGAATTTTCTGTAACTTATTATCATGACAATAAACTATCATAAAAGTCGGATTTTTGAATAGTCTGCTTTTGTCTATATCAAAAATCCCTGACTCTTTTCTAGACTGTAATGTCATGTCAATTGAGAGTACTGACTTGATCATCTACATGTATACCCCTACCAATCATGAGCATAAACTTTATGACTGCTGCAGTCAGAATTTATCTTTTTACCCAGACAAGATTTTAAAACGAAATTTTGTCTTGTCAACCAAGACTACACTTAACCACCTAGCCTATCTACACGTTTTCAGAAACAGCAGATACTTGGCGATTTTATGGCAATGTTTTGATAATGTATTAAGGAAGGATTTTCAAACACCACTTCTAAATAAAATATTCTAGAAGTATTCATCTATAATAATTGTCTTATTTTTTTAACTTTTATACAGTTGGTACTTGTCATTACTTATGTTATTTTTTTCTACTTTCAGAGTTCTACGAATGCTCAAAAACGACAACACTACGGAAGCTAGCAAACCTTGGTGGTGTTCAGACATTGGACTGCAAACTGAAATATCCCCGAGGAAATCCCATACCATATATCATCCAATGGAAGAAGGATGGATTAGCACAGCCAATCTTTATCAAATATGATGGCTACCCTGCTCAAATTCCTCATCATCAATATCGGAATCGCCTGGCGCTAAAGGATGAAGTATCACTGGAGATTTCCCACATCCAAGCTAATGATGAAGGATGGTATGAATGTAATACTATATTTATTGATGGTGCTGAAGAGAGAACTGTTAATGGATCTTGGATATATCTTACTGTACATTGTAAGTACTGCTTTAATTATCTGCAAATAAATCAGATTCATATAATATACTTCTCATACAGTTACATATCCTCAAATATATAAAATTACCCTTTGTTTGAATAGCTACATAATAAAAAATTCAAAAAAATGTTAAGAGTAAGAATTATATTATCTGTACATTAAACACATTTGAATAATGGTTTTATACAGTAAAATTACAAGAAAGAATTGTGAATATTTAAAATACTAGATTTTGACTCCTACAGATGCATCAAGTAGCAACATGCCTTTCGTGTCTGTTTAGATTTGAATCTATTTTCAATTTTTTGTGCCTACCACACATTTTCAATACACAGTCAAAAATTCTGTATATACTGCTGATTGTTTTGATCATGCCAACATGCAACAACTCTGACAAAAATAAAACTTTATATAAACACAGGAAAACCTAAATATTTCTTTCTATGCAATAGGAATACAATCAATCTACCCAAGAGAATTATTTATGAGTTTTATGGTTGTATGTCACTAAATCAAGTTAACAAATTTTATAATGTCTGTAAATTTAATAAGTATCAAAATCTTCTGTGTTGTATGTCAGTCTGAAATAAATTGTTATCTTCATTGAATGCTCCCATTTATTCTGCTGTAAAAAGAGTATATTGTGAAAACAATCTGTTAAAAGTTGGTCGTAATCCTCAAGGACTATAAAATAATCTAAGTCGATTGAGATAATGGTATTTAAAGAATAGGAAAAGTGTAGAGTGCTCAAGTTGAAGAAAGTATTGAAAGAAAAAATATATCCAGGAATGGAGTAATAAATTTCATCAGCACTTTTTTGAATTGATTGAAAGTGATGTGTTTGGCGCATAGTAGGTTTATTAAGCCCAACTAGTTTATGATATTGTTTATAAATCATTATGATTTATTGTTTATTTGATTGTTGTTTGTTTATTATGCTATTTCATTCCTTCGTCATATTAAATAAATGGCATTATCACACACTATCTGGTTTTGATTTATCATGAGAGAGGGTGAGGAAAGGGAGAACACAAATGTAGATTTTTAACTTGTGATCAGAAAGCTATTTAATCCAAGTCCAAACTTTATTTAGTTTGAACAGTACTGTTTGATTACATCAGTAGTCTTACTACTAGGGCATGTCCTAATCATACTCTGTAACTGAATATAGTCCTTTGTTTCGAACCAGGCTCATTCTATTTATCTTTGTGAGGGTCACATCTGTGGTTGTGATGAGATGCTATTTGGAATGTGTACTCTCTAGTCATTCTGAATGTGAAGGCACAAAGTAAAAGATGTAAAAATAAGTTTTCTATAAGAGGCAGGAGATTATATTCTGTTATATTTTTTTCACTGAAGGCCTCAGGAGGATTGAGATCTTGTAAAATCTATATTAGCACTAATTTATATCATTTTCGTCTCTAACTGGAATAATTATGATCTTCTTTTCCATGTTTCAGAGAAATGATATTGAATATTCAATAATGTATCCTTTATTCCAGACCTCAATTTCTTGACAACACTGTCAACATTTAAAGGGATCAGTTTACTGAAATACTGTTTCTGCCAGGTTTCTTTGTCTCTACTTTTGGTTGATCTTAGTTTTCCACTTGTCCCAGTAGAGAATTACTTTCAACAATACTAGAATGATAAAGTAAGATTTGTCATTGGGTTATCTGAAAAGTCCTATTAATCTCAAAATGTCACTATTCAATATTTTATATAAAAGGGAAAGAAAAATAGTTATTCAGATCAGTAATTGTAATGTCAATGCTCTACTTACAAGAATTTGTTGCAGTGGTCATTACTTTCAGGCTAAAATCTTTTTATTTTTCATCTTTAAGTCCTGCACACACGAGCCCTCAACTCAGACAGACCTCATTCAAACATTGTAACTGAAGACTTCCTCTTGTAGGTAAATTTAGGTAAGATTTAAGTCATTCGTGGTAAAAAGCAATCCGACGCCTCACTATCTAAAATCACTTGAAATCAGAAAGTTTTATTTGATTCCAATTTAGACTAGATGACCATGTTTCCTTGTGATTGAAGTGATTGAAAGTACATTTGAAGTGCGAAATTTATTCTAATTTTGGCAAAGTTCCCATGTATTTTTGTCAATAGTTGCATGCACCAAGCATTATTGCTCAACACAGCTTGGAGAACTCCAACCTTTTTCATAATTCACCTCCAACTAATCTTGGCTAAATGAGTTTGCTGTCTGCTGAACATAGTGGCCTTTTTACATCTCAGGAAAAAAAAATCTAAATTTCTTCTTCGTGGATGGTTGAAAGTAGGATTTTCCATTGGCAATAAAGGATATTTCATAATTCAATGTTATTCAGTTCAGTGAGTTGATTAACAAGCCATTACTGGAAGCAGACACACTGGAACTAATAGATCACCGCAGCAAATGTATAACTTTAATTTCATTGGATAAAAAATTTCTGTGAGACTGTTCTACATTCATCAAGAATGTTGAACACCGTCTTTAATTTTCCAGATCACCTTTTTTAATGTTTGGAAACTCCACATATCCCATCATGCCCTTGTAAAATTGGTTGAATGAAGAAATTTTTATTGTCTGATTGCCTCTTATACCCAGTCTTATTTGACTGTAAAAACTTAATACATCTTGTTTAACTGTCAAATCTAGTACTGCTCTCGGTTTCAGATTGAATTTTATTTCCTAAATTACTAGCTACGTCAAATTTTCTGCATTAGTTATAGAGAATAGCAGACAATGTTGAAGGAAAGATAACTTCTATGTCTGCATTATTCAAACTTGAAAAGGATGTGTAAATATCTACATGGCCAAGAACTCTATAGAAAACTAAACCTACAACAGTTCTGCAATAAAATCTTAATGAATAAAAGGATCCAAAAACATCAAGATGAGTAACAATATAACTCTTATAATTACGTGCTGTGATTTCATAAAGAAAACTAACATCATGTGTTGATGTCAGAAACATTCCATTTGTAGGTCTAATTAGTTTAAAAGACCTCTAGATAGTTTTTCGATTTTATCCAATTTGAAAAAAAACAACAACATTCATTTGAGAACTATACTAGCCATATATACAATGATGATGTTGATATCATTAAAGAGATATAAGGATTCAAGGCCATATATATATATTCCTGTGTTCTTGCTTAATTTAAAATCTCTCAGAATGTGACAGCACCTGCCTATATAGGGTAATATTCCTCTGAGACTTCCAATATATCACAATGTTTCTGAACAAAGATAAATTTAATTGTTACTACCAAATCTGGTAGAAAATCATTCCACTATTCTCTGCAAGTGATTTGAAACAGCATGACTGATGCTGTATAAAATATCAAAACAAAAAGATTAAAGAGAAGTGAAAAAACAGGAATAATGGAGAACTCATGTTGGAATTTGTTCCAGTCAATAAGATGTGCTGAGATGAAAGGCTGATTAAAAGTATTGGGGTTGAATTAGATAGGCCTATATGCTTTTAGACAAATCACACATGAAATTGACTTTTAATTCAAGATATATTTATATCTCGATACAGAATTGGAAAGAGAAAAATATAAGGAAATTTAATATCAAAGAACCTTCTATACAACAAAAAGTATAAGGTTAACTAAGTATTGAATAAAGTTTGAGATCAGTCAACAGATCTGTTCAGCATGGCGAGGGTTTAAACCAAACACTGGACCTGTATTACACTGAATTTCATATTATCTTGCATACAGGAGTCACTGTATCTACTTGCCTAGCAGACAAAAACTTATTAGCTACCAACTGAGCTATTCCAAAACCATAATTTCTATTTCTCCTCATCATCTCTTCAGACATTTTTACTTTTTGAATATGATGTTGAAGCACACATATCTTATAGCCTTATTTCCCTTTAAACCCCAATCAATCCATGATAGCCTCGTCACACCTGAAAGGAGCCTTACTGAGCTGCTGCTGCGACGGGAAATAAGTTCTGCGTGTTACGGTCGGCATAAGCATGGTATTAGCTTGCAGGAAGCATCAGATACCGTATGGTTGGCGCCATTGTTGCCAATAATTGCTGTTGAGATTGCTATGGAATTGACAAGCGACAAAATATCTCCATGAATGCAAAACAAGTCAAACGCACCAAGCACATAGGTTTGATTAAAAATGTGCTTTTAGAACGCAATATGGGTTGCATATGTAATAGTTTTAGCAGCAACTGTTAAAGAATTTGTAATTTTTCTTGCGTTTTCTTCATGTTTTCCGGCGACCAAGTACAAATGGTTGCAGTCCATTGTGATAGGGCTTTGGATAACCAATCAGATTTCTTTAAACCAAACCAAATATGCCAGTAGGAGGCATGTAAGACAACCAGCACCAAATCAGTATTTTAAAAAAAAAATGATTGTGCTGAAATAGTTAACTCGAATTTGTTTGCTCTGGTTTGTTGAGTTTCCAGTGTTGTGTTGGCCTCTTTCAAAACGGTCCACAACTTTCTGAAAAAAAATCTCATCAACCAACTACAGTTGTCATTAATGTTATTCAAATACTTTAATCTTCTAGCAAATTTTACATCAGCAAATGGAAAGAGTGCCAATCCACAAATTCATGAATAAATAATCAAATTGAGACAAAACATTTTGTTTGTGTTATTTGTAAAAATTTGTTTAATTTGGCTAGTTGGTATTCAAGATTCAAGATTTTAAAGCATATAATAGGAAACCAGCAACCCGACAAAAGATGTTGATTCCAACTTGAACAAAACACTGGCACATCAGGAACAACAATTTTGGAGAAAGTATGTTGCTGTAAAAACCTTTTTTTAAATATTTTGTTGATGGTAGGTAAGATGATAAAGTACTAATCATTCTGAATATAACATTATAAACTAACCAGCGGTAGTAATTACTGTTCATAGCAAGTTACTGCTTCAGACTTGGTATTCTTTAAGCATGTAGGCTACTTGAAAGATTTGGATTAAAGTGAGATATCATTAAATGATTGAATAGACACTTCAGATC